CCAAGATGCTAAAGCAAAACATTTAGTGTGGGAACCCTCTCCTTCATGTCCCGAATCCAGTCAACTTACTCCCTCTGTGGTCCATTTTTCTGTACTGCAGATATTTCTAAAATCATCAAGTGGATTTGCCATTCTGTTTTAAACTCTCAAATGCCAATGACTTTTTCCTGACACAGCCTAACTCCCATCTACTTCCCCCAGCTCTGCTCAGCACCTTTCCTCTGGACCTGTTACAGTTCAGGCAGTCTGGTCTTGCTCAGGCTGAGTACACTAGTTTACCTAGGCTGGCCTCAAACATACCAACTTCTTTTGGTGCTAGCATTTACATCATTTAGCTTGGACTAGACCTTCACAGAGCTGCAACTCAAATGTCCTGTTTCCTGCTAGCCAGCCAGCTCTGATCACGTTACCCTATGTTCATGTATGGGTGACATGTGTCTTTGTCCTTGCTTAGAGCGCTTTGAACATTATTCACTGCTGTCGTGGTACTTGGCACCTAGTGGGAACTCAATCATTTGTTGAGTGAAGGAATGTCATCTTAGCTGGAGCAGGAGTTCTTATTCGTCAGTTTTTGAGATAGGGTCTCCTAGTAGCCCAGGTTGGCCTAGAACTTGCTATCTAGACCAGGTCTCACAGAGATCTGCCTGCCTCTGCCTGTGGAGTGCTGGGATTAAAGGCATAGGCCACTACACCTGACTACAGGAAGAATTTTTAAGGTGGAACACTGCAGATTCAAAAAAGATTATTCCCAGCATATCTGGGAATATGCTGCAAAGCTCTGTATTGAATCCCTAGTCCTGAAAAAACCCAAACCACTACCACCAACAAAAAACTCTAGCCAACCAAAATTTCCTCTGCTACCTCCTGCAAACAAAATTAGTGTTTGTTTTTGAGATTGGTCTTGTGATGTGGCCACATGATGGCTAACAACTGTCTGTAACTTACAACTCTCTCTTCTGGCCTCCACGGGTACACTTACATGCATACACCTAAAATAATTTTTTTTTTAAGAGACCCTTAGTCCCAAGGGAATAAGGTGGATAATAGAGAAGGGCACATGGCCTTCTTCTCTGCTCTCCGCATGCATGCACGGATGATCCATGCACACGTGTGCACATAGATCACATACATACTCAAACACACACACACACACACACAGGAAAAAAAAATAATAAACAAGCTATCAACATTCCTAGGAAAGTAAAATCTAAATTCCAGTTCTCTATTATTGACTCATTTTCAAGGGGGGAAAAAAATCATCCGAAGTGTTTATTTGGCATCGTTATAAACTGTGTGAATTTGAAGCAATTCTTCTCACGGACCTTGTCTAAGGACATCCCCAGACCACAGCTTCAAAAGAGTCAATTTTGTTTACCTCAAGTTATAGGGGATAAGAGTGAATATGATCAAAGTGCATTACATATGTCAAAGTGTCAAAATGAAACCCACTGCTTTATGCAGTAAGTGCAGACCAAGAAAGTTATAGGATCCTTGACTCTCCCATTCTGGGAAGATGTGGCTCAAGAGATTGTTTTTCCTTCCTCACTAGGACCTATAATTAAAGACCACAATGCCCCCCACCAATTCACTATGTCCCTGAGGCTTGGCCTTGAGCTTTCAATTCTCCTGCCTCCACCTCCCAAAGTTCTGGGGTTACAGGCCTGGGCCACTATCCCCCAGTGGAAAAGTATGTTTAGAGAAAACATCTTATTTATAATTACTTCAGCAAAAGATTCACCAGGGGTCTTTACTGAGAAACAACCTGATGTTATCAGTGTGCATTTGTGGAAACCTAGGTGGACTATTGCCTAAATTCATCCTTAGGCAATCTCTGTGTTTGGGATTCCTATGAGCAAACCAGACACAAGAGGAAAAACTCCAGTGAGAGAAGCACTTCCTGGCTTATGATTAGCAGGGCTAGAAGACTTCTGGGTTATTCCTTCACCATAACTGATTCTACCATCTTGGACTCCTCATCTTGGCCAAAGACTGCTGTTACACCAGAACAATCTGTTAACTAACTCACTTCCTTTAAAATAAACCTTGAGTAAACCACTGTCAAGTAGGAGCTGTGATATTGGAAAGGACAGAATAAATTGGCATGTTGCCTGACAATTTCCTTCCGTTGTTCAAAAACTTTTTTTTTTATAGTTTTTTAAAAAATGTGTATTGCATGACACAGGTGCATTTACATACATGCAGGCAGTACACTCATACACATAAAATAAAAAATAAATAAATATACTTCATGGGGCGGGGGGCTCATGCATGCCATGGTGCCTGAGTGGTGCCACGTGGGACCTGTGGATCTAACTCAGTTCATCAGTTTGGAGAGAGGTGCTTTTACCAACTGAGCCATCTCACTGGTTTATATAATTTTTTTGTTTTTGTTTTTTGTCTTTTTTTGAGACAGGGTCTCCCAGCTGGCATTGAACTCATAGAGATCCACCTGCCTCTGCCTCCTAAGTACTAGGATTAAAGGCATGCGCCACCATGCCTGACTTTGTATACATTTTTTTAAAGCTATCTGCCAAACATGGAATGTAATTCAGTTTATTCCAGAAAGATGAAGGGACCGACTTCTATGGGTGTCATGTGGGTAAACCAGAGTCTTCAGCAATCTTTGTACTTCCAAGCTAGATCCTGAAGAGTATACACCTTTTAAAATAGTCAGGCACCTTGTTTTCCAATGATCATAAGCCTGTGTCTACATATTGTGCCTTCGTTTTCTTGGAATAGATTTCCCTCCTATCAGTGTCTAAACAGCAGGGAAACAACAGGAGAGAGCCCTAATTAATTTAGAACACCTTTCCAAATTTAGTGTTTCATCTCCCAAAAGGCTTAGCTGGCTAAGAGTATTACAGAGATGTCTGCAGTCAAGGTTCTAATCCACTTAAAGGCCTGTTTACTTCTGTAGTGTGAGCCATGATTTCACCTCTTTCAAGTACATTTCTAAATAAATGTGGGTCAGGTGAGGAATAAGGGAAGCCAGCACTGGCGGCAAGAGATGCTGCCATGGAGAGAGACAGTCCACAAGCCCAAAACTTGCAGAACTTCCAGAACTTGTATCTTTGGCTTCTCTACTCATTCTGCCAGCACAGCAGGTGTTCAGATCTCAGAAAGCAACTAATGCCTCCGCCCTGGAGTTTGGTGTGGAAAACTCAATTAAAATACAAGTTGCCAGGTGTGGTGGCTCACACCTTTAGTCCCAGCTCTACGCGGGAGGCAGAAGCAGGTGGATCTCTGTGAGTTCGAGGCCAGCCTGGTCTACATAGTGTGTTTCAGGTCAGCTGGAGCCTCAGGGAGACCCTGTCCCAAAAAGACCAAAAACAAAGTCCTGGAACTGAGGTATGTAGAGAAACAAAACCAAACCAGCCAAAGAAAGCAGAAAGCAGGGAAGGGAGAAAGATTCCCACAGAGGGGGGTAAAGACCAATGGATGTGGTCAATGTCCTTTGCAACAGCTCCAGCAAATATGTAGCAAGACAATGCAAATTGAAAGACCCGAATAAGGGGCTGGAGAGATGGCTCAGCAGTTTAGAGCACTGGCTGCTCTTGCAGATGACCCAGGTTTGGTTCCCAGCACTCACTTGGTGGTTAACAATCATCCATAACTCCAGTTCCATGGGCATTGCACAATATGGGTGCACTTACATGCAGGCAAAAGACATATACATGCAACATAAAATGAACATGAATAAACCCCCCCAAATTAAAAATTCACACTGTAAAATTGACTTCTCAGCAAAACACTATATCTGCCTAATCATCAAGATCTGAGCCCTGAGATTCTCACCCAATAAAATCCAAACGGCAATGCGCTACATAAACACGGCCTGATGCCCCCCCCTAATAAAAACAGCCCCCTTATTTAAAAAGGAGGAGCTGGTAAGATGGCTTAGTGGGTAAGGGCGCTTGTCGCTGAGTCTGATGACTTGAGTTTGATTCTCTGAACCCATGGCTGTGAAAGGAGAGAACCAACTCTTTGTTCTCTGACTACTATACATTCGCCAGGGCAGGCGTGTACGCGCCCACTGGAGTGCACACACGCTAAAAAAATTTTTAAAGCACTCATTAGCCAAGTGCGACGCTGCACACCTGAAGTCTAGCACTTGGGAGGCTGTGGCAGAGGCTGTGAAATCAAGGCCAGTCTGGGCTATCATAACTAGACCCTGCCTCAACAAAAAGAAAAAAGAACCAAGCAGTAAGCATTTGGTATTCTGAAGTATTGTGAGTCAAGGTAAGAATCAACTTTTAGGGGCCGGAGAGATGGCTCAGCGGCTAAGAACACTGACTGCTCTTGCAGAGGACCTGGGTTCAATTCCCAGCACCCACATGGCGGCTACGAACTATCCTTAACTCCAGTTCCTGGGAATCCAAAGCCTTCTTCTGACTTCCAAGGCATTGCATGACATGGGTGCACTCACGTACATGCAGGCAATACATTCATACACATAAAACAATAAATAAAATATTTAAAAAAAGAAAAAAATAAATAACAGTTCAAACCCAGGGCCTCAGGCATCCTGGGCAAGTGTTCTATCAGTGAGTGATATCTCCTAGCCCCAAAGCTGTAAGAAACATAGCAATTCTTTTGTCATGCAACCCAAGGAAAGTTCTATAGGAAATATTTACTCTTTCCAGGGCCTCAAACACTGAGCTTATCCCAATGCTAATCCTTTTTTTTTTTTTTTTTTTTTTTGAGACAGGGTCTCACTATGCAGACCAGGCTGGTCTTGAACTCAAAGAGGTCTGCATCTGTTTGCCTCTGCCCCTGGGTGCTGCGATTAAAAGAATTCATTACCATGCCAGGCCTGCAAATCATTTTTAAAATGACCATATTATGTGACCTATAAAGTCCCTTCTAAATTCCCATAGTAAAAATATAAACTGGACCTGCTGAAGCAAACCTATGTTAAGAAGCACACAGTCGCCACCTTGTGTCCAAGAGTTTTCATTACACCCCAAATTTTACTGCCAAAGAACACACGTGGGCTTTCGAACCATTACAGAATATAGCTTTATTTATAGAAGTTTACAAATAAAACATTTACAGTCCACATGACATAAATTATTTTGTTTTCTAGTTCTTTTCATAACACCTGAGTTATTTAAAAAAAATACTGTGATGGAACTGCAGAACTGTAAAGGGAAATGGGAATAAAAACTTCTTTGTAAAAATCATTTTTTTCTTTAAAGCAGATTTCCAGCATATCAGCATCTCTTTGGAAGAGGACTTACTAAAGAAATGGATCTTAGGCTACCCAGATAGAGACATCTTTTAAAAGCCCAGGGTAAAGAAGGACTACTGAAAAATGGCTCCCAGCTGACACATAGACACTAAAAACTTTGAGGGGCAAGGACAGAGGCAGGTTAGGAGCGAGATGGTGGCAGAATTCTGTTCCTGGCTAAGGGAGCATGATTTCCCTGCTAGTACTAATGAGAGAGAGAGAGAGAGAGAGAGAGAGAGAGAGAGCTTGCAAGTGGTAATACCAGGTGAGAAGGGTCCATTAAACAACTGATCACCTCTTAGACTTCTAGCATGTACAAATGCTTAAAACAGCAACTTCAACACTTATAAGTCTAAAGAGCAGTTGCCACATTTCAGTTCATGAGGCCAATCTGTTGCCAGTGGAACTTATTGGAACATCTCTACTCCCATCCTACCTAAGCTTTGACTGGGGCTCGCCCTCTGCACCAAAGCAGTTCCGGGATCTCCGTTTAAGGCAGCTGTCTGTCTGCACAGAAAGTTCTCAAGTTCATGTGAAGTGACAGAACAGGCAAGCACTCTATTTTAAATGCTTCTCAATTTGTTCACTATTAACATTTTTAAGGTCTTCTAAATTCATTATTCTATTATAACCCAAAGGTTTTTTTTTGTTGTTGTTGTTTTTGTTTTTTTGGTCTTTTTGAGACAGGGTCTCCCTGTAGCCCCAGCTGTCCTGGAACTCACTATGTAGGCCAGGCTGGCCGTGAACTCAGAGATCTGCCTGCCTCTGCCTCCCAAGTGCTGGGATTAAAGGCATGTGCCACCACGCCCGGCCGACAAAGGGTGTTTTTAAGGAATGACAGGATCTATAGCGAATGATAAAATTAAAATTGTAATACAACAATGTAAGCTAGGTAAAGTCAAATCTCCCACTTTTACTTATTTTTTCATTTTGTTTTTGTTTTGAGACAGGGTCTCCCTGTATCCCCAGCTGTCCTGGAAGTCACTATGTGGACCAGGGTGGCCTTGAATTTACAGAGATCCACCTGCCTCTGCCTCCCAAGTGCTGGGATTAAAGGTGTGTGCCACCATGCCCAGCTATTTTTTTTTTTTTTTTTAGGTAGTGGTGGTACTAGGTAGGAATGAAACTTAGGGCCTCAAACATACCAAGCAAGAGCTCTCCCGCTGAGTCATACCCTAAGTCCTAGAGTCTTAAATTTTACATTTTTATTTGTATTTTGTCCTGTTGAGACAAGGTCTCTACGTAGCCCATGCTGGCCTGAAACTCACTATGCAGCCCAGGTTGGTATCAAACTTGATCCTCCTGACCTCACCTCTCAAAAGCTGGGATTATAGATGCCCCTGACCACACCTGGCTGAGCCTTAAATTTATTTATTTTTTGCTGGGATTAAAAGAGTGCTGGGATTAAAAGCATGTGCCACCACACCGGGCCTGAGCCTTAAATTTTGAGTGTCATTTTCTGCTAACTCCTGAAAGCAGTTTGAGGAAAAATAAAACAGCAAAGACAAAGAATAATTTTCAAACAATAACAACAATGACGATGATAAGCGATAATATAAAAAGTCAGCTTCTGACATTCAAGGAATTGGTTCTTTGGTAAAACTGGTAATCCTGACATTCGATCTAGACCTTGACTACTGAAGTTTCTTCCTCCTTCTGTCTGTTCTCAAATCCACCCAAGGCCAAGATCAGGAGAGAAACTGAGCAAGTGTCACCAGCAGCTATCTGAGGTGTCTTCTTCTTAGGAATATTCCTGGTTTGAGGGATGTTTCTCCAAAAAGAAGGGGGAAAAAAATAGATGCTGTTCTTAATTTCTAACAGTGGACAGTTTTTCTGTGGCAAAAACAGAAAAACTCAGGCGTTGGCAATGAAATATTCTTTGTCAGTCATGTGACACGGCCCCTGGGCTCTGACTGTGGGCACCACTAACAAAGGCTCTAGGAGAGATAGGCTCCCCAAAGTGGCTAAGGAATCCACATTATCAATATGATAATAATAAATTAATTAATTCACCTAGTGAACCTGGAGATTGGCTCCCCTGGAAGGCAGGGCTGTGAGGAAGGGGTTCCACAGTGCCTGAGGCTGGCCTATAGTGTTAAAGACAAGCATACCCATTGGCTTTCTGGAAAGAATAAAAGCAATTTATACTTGGTTCAGTTCAGGATTCAATCTTGTTGTCTGGGGCCAGGGAGGAACTGGAGCTAGACAGTGCCCTTTGAACCCATGGGCAATCATGATGTCTACAGTGGCCAGACCTGAATGTTTGAGCTCATGGTCCAGAGTCCCCTGGTATTCAACTTTTATTTCTGCAATTAGCAAGTTCTGAGTTTTGCTTGCTACCAATTCCACTTCTGATTACCTTTGTCACAGTGAAACATAAATGTATTCCGATTCTATAAGTCAGCTTCCACTTGGCAGAAGTCTTGACCAGGGGAGGTAAATTTGTGCAGTTTCTCCACTATTACAAACATCTTAAATGTGCTGAGAATGTGCTCCTAGTGAGGCACCTAAAGTTATCTAGAAAAAGGGAGCTGAGAGAGGATGTGCGAATCACTGCAAACCAACTGATTTCTTGCAGGCCTCCTGCCCCTCCATTCTGTCAGTGTTAATCTGAAAGAGGTGGTCTATGCAACCTACTGGCTCACCTGGCAGGTTACATGATATAGGTACTGCCCACTAGCAGTATCTGCCATCTAAATGGAAACCAAGGAGCACTGAGGAGACAAGACATCACTGGTTGTACTTCCTCCCTGTCTCTACCTGCCCTACTCATCTGCTGGGACCATCAGTCTTCTTTTGGACAGACTCTGAAAATAAAAAACGGGAGGGATTCCTGTCTCTTGCCCTTTTGCTACAAGAACACAAGAACGGTGTCAAGAAGAACCAGCTTAAAGACCAGGGTACACATTTAGAATCACAGGCCCCAAAGTAGGATGTTACCCTGATGTTTCTAAATGAACCATGACCTCTGAAATTTTTTTTTTTTTAACATCATAAAAGATTCAACATCTCTTAGGGCTGATTTCAAGAGAAAGAGACGAGGGTGACCAGAGGAAAAGGGAGACTTGTCCTGCACATGGCATTTCAGTTCCAGAATCACTGTGTGGAAGAGGGTGGGGAAAGGGTTTGAGGAACTGCCTAGAGAACAGTTACCAGGGCGGCTTCTTCCTAGGAAAGAGTAGTTTAAAACAGCTGACATCTGAATGCAGGCGGGAAGTCTGTGCCAGTTTTTAAAGAACTGCCTTTTCCATGGTGCTTTGTGGATGCTGAGTCCTCAGGCCAGGGACCAGGCAGCCCAGAGCCCGATGTGCCATTCCACTGGCTCCCAGCAAGGTCCTACCCAATCTGGATCTGTCCTGAATACATAGTGAGAACCAGCATGATGGTGAAGCCTGTTAGGAGGCCAAGATTCTGGATAACAAAGGGGACCAAGAAGGTACCCTTCCTTTCATCTTCTCGACAGACCTCGTTCATCTCAGGGAACTGAGAAAGGAGAGAAAAAACAAGATAGTTGCTTTTGGTTTCATCATCTTGTCCATCAGGGCAATGGGACATGTTATGGTTTGGATCTGAAATGGTCCTGACAGGTTTAGATGCCTGGTTCCCAGTGAAGGTGCGTTTCCTGAGGTTCTGGAGACTATGGGAGGTAGAGCTTAGCTGGAGAAAGTAGGTCATTGGAGGTCATGTCTTTGAGGGATATATTACCTAAGCTCTCTGCTTCCTATTCTCTGCCACACTTTCCTCTGCCATGATGTTCTGCTCAACTGCATGGGGCCGAGCAATCGTGGAATGAACCCTCTGAAACTGTGAGCCAAAATAAACTGTTCCTTCCTTAAATTGTTTTTGTCAGGCATTTTACTCACAGCTATGCAAAAGCAGCTACTGCAACTTGGGTGTCAGAAAAAAGTAATACCACAGGTATAACTAGATTGTTATAGTCTTGTGAAGGTACTTACCTTGACTTACTGAACATGTGAAGTACTGAACATGTGAAGATGCTTACCCTTCATCAAGTATGGAACACATGCATACCTGTGGCCTCAGGTGTTCAAATGTTGGCTGAGATAAATAAGCTTTGATTTTAAAAAAATAAATTTTTTATTGTAGACTTTAAAAACATTTGATGTTGGGGCTGGAGAGATGGCTCAGCGGTTAAGAGAACTGGTTACTCTTATAGAGGACCTGAGTTCCATTCCTAGCACCCACACAGTGGCTAACAACCATTAGTAACTCCAGTTCCAGAAGATCTGATGCCCTCTTCTGAACACTGTGGGTACTGCATGACATGGCTGCACTTACATACATGTAGACAATTCATCCATACACACAAAATAAAAATAATAAATAAAATATTTTTAAAAATACTTAAAAAAACACTTGATCTCACCTTCTATGCTGAACTCCAAAATAAGACATGGTATGCTAGCTATATGCACAAAAAAGGGGGGAAAAAAAAGAAAGCAAGCCAGAAAGAAGAAAAACAAACACTTGAAAAGATCTTTTCATTACCAAAATATCTTCATCAGTTCTTTGAGAACTCTATCAGTTGTATAAAGAGACCAAAAAAGGAGCTACAAGATGGCTACGATTCAAGGCCTCATATTACTAAGCCAACAGAGGCAGGTGACAATTATGAGATTATCAAGCCAAAATATATTCAAGTCATGAGGCATGCTTCCCCACAAGAGAAGAATGGAAAAAAAAAAAAAAAGAGTTTCCAGGGGTATGGCTTGATGGTGGTAAATGCTTTCCTCAAAGACATTAAAAAAATTTTTAAGTATCTTATTTTTAAAGATTGATTTTTATTTTATATGTATGAAGGTTTTGCTTGCTTAGATGTATGTGCACCCTGTGTGTGATTAGTGTCTACAGAGACCAGAAGGAGGCAGAGTCCCCTGGAACTGTAGTTACAGCTGGTAATGAACTACCACATGGGTGCTAACAACAGAACACTGCTGAGCCATCTCTCCAGCCACAAGATTTTATTTTTACCTATGTGTACTTGTGTATTTATACACATGAGTGCAGTTGTCTGCAGAGGCCAGAAAAAGGCTCAGTGGTAGAGCATATGCCTAGTTTGACATACACACAAAAGTCAAAAACTATGCCAGTAGTTCTTATTCTGGAAGTTGAGAAGAAGGCACCAAGGACACCTCATCTTATATATTTTTATCAAATGATTGCCAAGGAATATCCTATGATGTCTATGGTATATTGAGGAAAAAGAAATCAGGACATAAAATCGTTCATCCAAGTGATTACAGTATTTTAAAACAGATGTACAGAGGTAATGCATCCCTCAAGGACATGCCCATTGTTTTAAATAACATGCCCAAGGACATGTTGTTAGTTTATTTAGAAATATTTATTTTATGTGTATAAGTATTTTGTCTGCATGTATATGTGTATACCATGTGTATGCTATGCCCACAGAGGCCAGAAGAGGGCATTAGATCATGTGAAACTGGGTTCCAGATGGTTGTGAGCCATCATGTGGGGCTTCTGCAAGAGCAGCCAGTGCTCTTAACCGCTGAGTCACCTCTCCAGCCCCATAATGCTGTCACTGTTATTTTGTGGTAGAAAGATTATGGATAATGTTCCTTCCTTTTCTTTCACTCCTTCTTTTGGTCTACATATACTATAAAATGTAACAATCCCGGGCTAAGTATAATTATTTTCTTTAATGACATGCTAACAGAGACATGACACTTCTTTCTTTAAAACCTAACGCCTTGCTGGGTGTGGTAGTTCACACCAATAAGCCAAGCCCAGCAACCAGGAAGCTGAGGCAGAAAGACTGCAATGAATTCAAGGCTAGCCAGGGCTAGAGACCCAGTCCAAACAAACAACAAACAAATGCTAATGCCTCCTTCAAAACTATTGAATAGTTACATCTTAAATCAGCGAATTGTGTGGTATATGAAAGACATCTCATTAAAGCTGTTCTTAAAAACTAAATCATAAGTTGGGCATGGTGGCTCATGCCTATAGTCCCAGCACTTGGGAGGCAGAAGTAGGCAGATCTCTGTGAGTTCAAGGCCAGCCTGATCTACATAGTGAGTTCCAGGCCAGTTGGGGTTACAGGGAGACTCTGTTGCAAAAAGACTAAAACAAAACAACAAAAAGAAAAGCAAAAAAACCCAAAAAACTAAATCCTAAACTGGGCGTGGTGGCACATGTCTTTAATCCCAGCACTTTCGAGGCAGCATGGATCTCTGTGAGTTCCAGGTCAGCCAGAGATGCACAATAAGACCCTGTTCTCAAGATGGTGCTAGCTGCCAAGCGGGAACCCTGGGAAAGAGAACTGACTTCCACAAGTTGTCCTTTGACTTATATAAGACAGCATAACAAATAAATAATAAATAAACAAATAAATCTTAGCTGTCCTGTACGGTATAATAATCTGGCCCAGTTCTGCCTAGGGCACACTTAACAACACTTACCATATCAGCCAGAGCAATATACAAGAACATTCCGCCAGCCAGTGCAAAAATCCAGTTGGGAGAAAAATGGCTGCCAGCCAGGATGCCAAAGGCCAGACCCACATAGCAACAGCAGGCAGACAGGAAGTTGAAGAAGAGAGCCTGCTGGATGCTCATGCCAGCATTGAGCAGGATGACGAAGTCTCCTATACCAGGGAAGAGAGCAGGAAGGAAGCTGCGTCAGAACACTGATGAGTCAGAGTGCTTAAACAACGGATGAAGTGTGGGTTTTTACCCAGCCCCAGTCTCAATGCTGATGCGAAGATGAAGCCACCTTCATGTTCCTGTTTCAGAGCTACTTCCATCTTCTAATTCTGGCCTTGGCCTCCCAGCCTAGGGGCTGGAAATAAAATAACTCACAGCATTTTGAGCATACTTGAGCAACTAGTGATGGCCTTATTGTACCCCATTGAGAGGATGGAAATAATTCACAGGACTCGGAAAGCAGATGACCAACTATCAATGGCCTCATTTCTCTTTCAACTGATGGTGAAATAGAAAGACTCCCCTTCCTCCTAACTATTATATAATGGATGGTACATTTAGGAAACAAAATTAAGTGGGGGAGAAGTTAGTTACAAGCCAATAAATGGCAAAGCCAGGACCTTGATTTGAGTCTAGGCTTCTTAGTCTCCCTGATAAAACTAAGTAGTCCCTTAAGCTCTGACTCACTTACTTTATCCACCCACCATACTTTAACAGACTTTCAGCCTCTCCAGGATGAAAAGGATATAAGGGACAACCTTTACTGAGCACTTAGAATAGTGTGTGGCACCTGGTATGTCCTTTTCAACATTTGTTTGCCTGCATTCCTCATGATGGTTCTAAAAGGCAGGTGCTATTATTCACCACACTATCGATACAGGTGGAGAACTTGATCCATAGTATTTGAGACTCATGGGAGAAAAATCTCTCTGTAAAAACCTCCATCATTCTAAGCCATGATCCAGTCAACTATTACGGTTCAGTAGTTAGATGGGATACAGATGACGTCAATGTGTTAATTATATGAGCAGTGTGGTGGTGGGAGGCAGGGGTATGAAGGGATGGAAAGGATAGCTCAGAACAAAACTGGGAAGCTGGCACAGAGGGACAGGAAATGCACACTCACCCAGCTCATGTGGGAACTCCTCACAGAGAATGGCCACCGACGTGCTGATGCCTTGGAATACAGACACAGTGAAGGAGGCACCAATGGCCAGACCATCAATGAAATTGTGAAGGCCATCACTCAGGGTGATCATCCAGGCCAGGGTACCAATATCAGAGTAGCGGACCCCTTTGAGCCAGTAGCAGGCACTCTGGGATGCCTGTAGGTCCTATGAGAAAGCACATCTCTATGGGCTGTAGAAGACTACAAGGTGACTCAGGCCTTCTAGGTGGCTCATGAAGGTCATGCCATAGCTTCTCAAAGGCACCCCCAGCAGCTGATGGCACTGACCTGCACGGACAACGAGCCCACAATGACCTTCTCGTCCATGCTAGGGGCCTTGCCATCCAACTCGCTGTTGCAATGCTGAGGAATCATGTGGTCCAGATCCCCATTTTGCAGCTTCTCTGTCACCCCCTCCTCCTGGTCTTTCTTGGAAGGAAGCGTCTCAGAGGCAAAATGGTTATGTCCATGGTGGTGCTGGACAGGAAATGGAGGGCGGGGTCAGTGTGACATACCAAAACCACCAGCCTAAGAGAGCACTTACTCAGGAGGACCACTCCAAGCCCTGGGAAGATCTTATTCCTACATCCAAAGAAACTGAGCAGGTTGGCCACACACTGGTACATAGAGAAAGCTGTTATATACAGCTACACCATGCACAAAAACAAGGACTTCACATTAGCTCTCCAAGTGGTTGCCTCTGGGTGTCACTCAGTCCAGTGAAGTGGCAACTACTCTAAGTACTTAGAGTTTCTTCTTCATGACGGCCACTACATTCACTTCAGTGACAGACAGTGACCACATGCCGGGCACCAGAGGAACCATACACCAGTCAGACCAGTTCCTGGATATCTTATTTCAGACATGCTGATGTGTATAATTAAGCCTTTCTCTATCGACAAAAATGTCAGGCTTACATAGTAAGCACCTTTACACGCTGAGCCCTTTCACCAGCCAACATCAGTTATTTACTTATTTACATTTTTTATGTGTATGAGTGTTTTGCCTGCATGTACACAAGTGCAACTTTGTCATGCAAAGCCCACAGAGGCCAGAACAGGGCATCGGATTCCCCAGGAACTGATGTTACGGATGTTGTTGGCTGCCGTGTGGGTGCCGGGAATTGAACCCAAGTCCTCTGCAAAAGCAGCCAGTGCCCTTAACCTCTGAGCCATCTCTCCAGTCCCTTATATCAGTATTTTTTGAGGCTCAAGGTCTCTCTGGAAGTTCCTTTACTTACAACTGGGCCTCACCTCATTTTTCTGCTTAAGGAGCATCTTCAAGATCTTCTCTGTGAAAAAGAAAAGGTAGAAACCCCCAAACACCACTGCAGACTTGGAGACATAGTAATCTTCCACGGGATTGAACCCAAAAGCCTGTGGACCCAGGAAAACAGAATGTGTTTAAGAAAACAAAAGCCTCCACTGCTCCCTCTCATCAGTTTACCACTCTCTCCACTCTAGGAAAGAGAGTCTGGGGGACTCTGCTGTCTACCCACTCTCTTGCCAGCAAACTCTAACCTTGATGTTGCCCTGATGTGCTAGCACTGGCTTAGATAGGTTAGGATTTCTCTTCTGACATAAAAGATAGACAGAGAGACCATCTTTCGGATTTCTACCCCCCATCCTGGTCCTGGGGTTTGACCTAGGCCTGCATGCATACATGCTAGGTAAGCACTCTACCAATGAGCTGTATCTCCAGCCCTTAGGACTTTAATCTCAGGAAGAATAATACCGTAGGTGGTTTTCTATTTTGTTGTTGTTTCTTTTTTTAGACAAGGTCTCATTCTATAGCCCAGGCTAGCCTCAAACTCAACTTCCTACCTCAGAATTATAGGTATGAGCCGCCAGGCCTGGCTTGGTTTTCTGCTTTTAATGAGGACTGTTTTAATTTCTGTTATTATTTAGTCTCATAAACACCCAATCATCAAATTCTACACTTAAAGGGAGGACACTTGTGTCTGGTTTCTGTCTCAACTAGTGTCCCTGGCTGATCTGCCTATAAATACAATGGGAAGTGGTTTAATTATGATTTCTAAAAAAGGGAAATCCATTCCCCAGTTTCACAGCAAGAATTGCAGCATCTTCCTGACCACAGACCTAGCAGGGACCACAAACCAAAAAAGCAGGCTATGTCCCTGTGGGCATCAATCTTGGGATCATTTGAAGCCAGACATGGTGAAACATGCCTGAAGTCCCAGCTTTTGAGGAGGATGAGGTAGGAGGACCACTTGAGCCCAGGAATATGAGGCAAGTCAGGACAACAAAGATTCCATCTCTCTTTTTTTTTTTTTTTTTTTTTTTTTTTTTTTGGTCTTTTTCAGACAGGGTCTCCCTGTAGCCCCAGCTGTCCTGGAACTCACTATGTAGACCAGGCTGGCCTTGAACTCACAGAGAGCCGCCTGCCTCCGCCTCCCAAGTGCTGGGATTAAAGGTGTGTGCCACTACGCCCAGCTTTAGATTCCATCTCTTTAAAAACATAATACAAGTATTTTTTTTAAAGACTGGTGTAGGGAATATGTTATTTTTAGTTCTTCCTAGAAACTTCACTTATTAAATAAAGGAGAAAACAGGATTCACTGATGAGAAAGGACAGGGGTAGGAACCAGGAGGACTGATCTTAAGTTCAGTTCCTGCTTTATGGTGCCAAGTATCCAATGACCCTCTCCTCTGTTTCCTAATGGGAAACAGGCCTCAAAGAAACTCCATTCCCAGCACCCAGGAGGCTGAGGCAGAAGGACAGTGAGTTTAAGGCTACATAGTGAGACTTTGTCTCAAAAAATAGACTCCATTTCTCTCTGGACAGGTCAAAGATAAAAGCTGATTCTAATGAAGGGTGGGTGGGTGCTTTCCCTTTAGGTTTATAGAGGGCTACCATTCAGTCAGCCCTTTAGAGCTGGCTTCTAAGAGACATAAGGTCAAGTTCAAAAGAAGCACAACATTCAAGTCAGCTCTCTAGAGGAATAGCCTAGGCAAAAGCAAAGAGAAAAGAGGCAGCTTCCCATCTTGCCACAGAGCCAGGAGGCATGGTAGGATTTAGAAGCATGGATTAGGGAATTATCAGACCTGGACCCTAGGCTTAGGGTAGGGACCTCCTGTGCAGGTCAGATTCTGTGAATAAAATATGACTCAGTTACAGATACTACAGCTGATTCACTAAGAACACAAAACAACACTTTGGAAAACAGAGTTCTCAGAAGCATGTGGAATCCTCTTTTGCCTTTGCTCATCCTCTTTTGCCTTTGCTCAGGCCTGCCAGACCACCTACAACGAAATGCCTTGTGCTTATTATAATTAACAGGTCTAGTGAAGAGATTTTTTCTTACCAAATCAGATGGAACATTCCCAGGGCTGACTACCCAGCCTTCCAAATACCAGGCTACCTTCTCTTCAGTGGAGGGCGTTCTCATTTAGTAGGCAAAGGTGCCATGGATGTATGTGGAACTATTTCCTTTGAACTCTCCTTTCTCAAACGCCCTGCTGACTGAGTTGTTTTTGTTAGTTTGTTTGACTGAAACCCACAGATTCTGTTGATGTGTTTCTACTTCTCTGCAAAGCCCCATACCAAAAGCCTAAAGTACACTTAGGAGGTGCTCGCACTCCCTTGGGGGTCAATCCTATTTTTTTGGCCCATTTTATACAAAGAACAGAGAGGTGAATGGCTAGCCACCATCTGGAGATGGTGGAGATGGGATTTAAACTTGACTCTTTTTTTTTTTGGTGGTGGTGGGGGGTGGTCTTTTTGAGACACAGTCTCCCCGTAGCCCCAGCTAGCCTGGAACTCACAGAGATGCGCCTGCTTCTGCCTCCCAAATACTAGGATTAAAGGCATGTGCCATCCTGCCCGGCACTTAAACCTGGCTCTTAAACCTCTCCTAGCTCCTGTCTATATCCTAAATTTGTCTTCCAATCAGAAAGGACCCTGGAGGCCAGTTCCTATACCTTCCATGTACATGGAGGGTCCTCCCCCTGTGCCCACTGTCCCTAAGGAGACAGGGCACGCTCTGGTGTGAGTGCTGCAGCTTGCCATACCTCGGGGATGAGCTGGAAGAGGGCGTTGGAGTAGAGGGTTCCAATCGCCAGAGCTATGAAGTAGAGCAGCAGCCTCTTGTAAAAAGTCTTCTTCATGAAGGGCACCACGCTGGCCCCCATGAGGGAGCAGAGGGAGATGACGGTGACACAGAGGAGACCGTACCCCCATACTGCCAGCCCACCCAGAGCAGGGAGCAGGGCAACCACCATGAAGGGGAAAGAAGGTGGAGAGGAGAGTTGTGGGTATTAGCGAAGGAAACAAAACAGAAATCAGAGACAAGTGGGGAGGGAGAGAGAAATAGAAAATTTGTTAGTGATTCGAGTTCGATGCAATTTCCTTCAATCAGTGCCAGAGAAATGAGAAGTGGTTTGCTGTGGTCTTGGAACTCTGTGACTCCTGTCCCTCCCCTGAGGTGGCCTGGTCTTTCACACCTGGTGTGATTAGCATGCAGAGCAAGGCACTGTTTCCTTGCTCTATGTTGTGTGCTCAAGCCCAGCAGGCTTTGGACTCAAGGGTTGTTTAAGAGGACACAAAAGCAAATGGGAAGAGAACATTCAATGTCATTTGCTTTGCTTCTGCATATTTAACCCAAGTCACAGAGGCACATGTGACACTCACTACCTGATGGTTTGTGTCACAAGATACAACAACATCACATGAAGAGCAGAGGGAATGTCAGAACAGTAAGACCTGCTGCTCACAAAATTCAGTCTCTGAGCTTCTCAGCTGGGCTTATCTGTTTCCATTTCCGTTGCAAGGGACTCGAGTGTAGAAAGCAGAGTTCCAAGATCAAGCTGTCACAAAAAATTATTTGAAATCCATTTTCCAAGGATTTCCATTTCCAAGTGTGTACTTACAGACACACTCTGGTCTGTAAGTACAGGGCCTAGGAAAGGGCACAGAAGGGTACCAGGATGACAATCCTAGTGTAACCCAAAGGGCAGAACGTGTACAATGATGACAGCTCCATTCAAACAGGCAATGAGGCATTTCATTTCAAATCCTTAAAAAGTTAACATTCAATTGCCAGAGCTGAAAAATAGCCCAAGATGAGGCCTCCCTTAGGAAGGATGTTCCAAATCCACATGGGATTTGGAAACTGTCACAGGAGCTAACTTTAGGTCATTTCTTCTCTTATGATAAAAGAACAAGTGGGGCATAAGAGCCCACATGGAAGCTTTTCTGGGTCAGTCTTTTGGTTGAGAAGGCTAGGAAGCCCTGACATGTTTGCTGTTTTGATAGGGCCTCACTATGTAGCACTGGCTGGCCTTGAACTGCTTCTTCTGCCTCCTATTGCTGGGATTAAAGGAATGCACCATCACACCCAGCTTGATGTGAGTTATTACAAAAACTTTAATCACAGCAAAGTGGTCAATCATATAACTACACATTACCTCCTTCAACAGCAAGATATGCCTGAGCTAAAAAGATGGGTAGACTGTCAACTTGGGCCTTATTTTTGTAGCTCTTCAGTGATAACAATTTTTAAAAATTACCAAACATTTAAAAACAATCAAATAGGGGTATCAGGAAGCCAGGCCTATCAGGAAAATGTCAAGATGCAAGGTATATTTTGTTTTGCTCTGGTTTTGGTTTTCTTGGGACAGTCTTTTGAAGTTGCCCAAGCTGGCCTAGAACTTGTTGTGATCCTCCTGCTGCCTCAGATTTCCAAGTGTCATGATTACAGCATTAGCTACCACAGCTGGCTTATTTGTACTATATTTGGCCCTGTATACTACAAAGGATGGTCTAATTAATATCAGGATCATTCTTTTTTAAAAAAATTTCTTTCTATTCCTTTTTTTTTTTCTTTTTGGTCTTTTTGAGACAGGGTCTCCCCGTAGCCACAGCTGTCCTAGAACTCACTATGTAGACCAGGCTGGCCTTGAACTCACAGAGACCCACCTGCCTCTGCCTCCCGAGTGCTGGGATTAAAGGCATGCGCCACCACACCAGGCTTGAACAGCCAGTACTCTTAACCGCCATCTTTCTAGCCCCTTTATTTTTATTTTTAAATTTTATGTGTATGAGTGTTTTGCCTGCATGCATGTAAGTGCACCTGTGTTGTGCAATGCCCGAGGAGCCAGAAGAGGGCATTGGATCCTCGGAATCTGGAGTTAAGGACAGCTGTTAGCTGCCATGTGGGTACTGGGAACCAAGCCCAAGTCTTCTGGAAGAGCACCCAGTGCTCTTAACCACTGAGCCATCTCTACAGCCCCAGGATCACTCGCTTTTGAGGCCAATTCTACAACATCCACTCTTAAGCTCCTTTCTTTCTGCTTCATCTCTCATGATCAATTAGGATCCATACATGAATAGCCCTAAATTTCCCTTGGAATACAGGGCCTGGCACATCACACCAAAGGTATTCACAGTGCCTATAAGCTACAAGTTCTCCATGGTCTCCTATAAAGGGGGACTCAGGTATGGAGTCAAGAGATTCTCAAGAGGGGGTACAAAAGCTAAAAGCCTTGCATCTGACATGACCTGAAGAGGCCAGAGGCCAACCTGAGTAAATAGAGGAGTGAGGGAAGTCATCAGTGACCCCTGATATGAAGGGTAAGTTCATTTGTCAGGTGGTGGTTGTTGGGTGCCTTAGAGTATGGGGAAAGAATGTCAGCTAGAGGAGGGCTCCATTGGGTGGCCCAGGAGGGAGGATGCGCGCGCCTGTTCTACTGCACCTCTGGGATGAGCTGGAAGAGTGCGTTAGAGAGCAGCGTTCCAATGGACAGGGCGATGAAGTAAGTGAGCACATATCTGAAAAACGCTTTCTCGGTGCAGGGCAGGATGAGGACTCCCAGGAGAGAGGCCAGGTTAATCAGTGAGACACTGAGGAAACCAAAGCCCCACACTGTGGAGAAACAAGAACACACGAGGCCCTCTATTACTGAGGGCAGGCACTCCTGCTGCTGGAGTAGAGGTGAGGGGCAGGTGGTGAGAATCTAGGCGCACGGAGACCCAGCAGCCCCTCAGGAAATGTCTGATGAATCCATCTCTTGCTAGGTGCTGGAGAGAAGCCTCCGAGTTAAATGTCAAGGCTGCTATCTAAAAGAAGCTTACCTTTTAGATGAAGAGACTGGAGGACCAACATGGAAGAACAAATTCCATGAGTTGGTTAATATGAGGGGTTATGCTGGCAGCATATGCTAGGTCTAGTGGCATTTGGTGGCTCTACATGACTTCAGAAAGGTAGTCAAGGATCTACTGGGTGGTGTGGTATTCATTCAGAGACAAGGTGAGTCCACTCTGGCTAGAGGGGAGGTATTGGAGAGTGGGGGTTCTGAAGTAGTCAGGGCAGGTCATAAAAGTTGGCACTCTTATGACTTAATGAAAACAGAGTGAGCAAAAACATATATACAGGCTAGTCTGGGTCTAACTCTGTGCTCACCAACCAGCCTACACAGGGTCTGGTGATGTAGTGCAGGAGTTTGGTGCACATCAATTATCGGGCTACCATCGCTCTATCCCCCCTACCTCTTTCTGTTGCTCACCTTCAATGGCACTTGGCTTCCCCTCCTCCGTCTGCTCGTTTTCCTCATTTTCCTGGTTTTCTGAGGTGCAGGCCTGGGAATCCAGCTGTTGGAGAACGGTGGGGCAAAACTCCTGCAACTCGCTCTTCCCGATCCGAGTCCGCTCGCTGAAATTGTGGGCTGTAAAGAGGTCTCCAGAACTGAAGCACTGAAACCCAGGAGCAATGGAAAGACTTTTAGAAACAAAAAGCTCTGCCCTGACCTGCCAAGGGGCAACACTCCAAGAGGTCGAGAGAAAATGGACATAGCCAAAATGCAGAGAATTTGGAGACTTATCTCTAGGGCAAGAGTAAGGAACTCCCAACACTTGAAAGCCTGATGGGTAATCTGAGATCAGCCACCATCACTCCACGAGCTGAGCACACTCAACTGTAAATGGCTGCGGGAAGAGGTTTTGGGAACAAACAGGTTCCAAGCTGGACCATCATCTCAGCTACTTGGGTAGCTGAGGCAGAGGGACTGGAATTCATGAACTGCCTGGGTTACAGAGCAAATTCAATCTCCACCTAAGCAGTTTTGTGAGATCCTGTCTTAAAAATGAAAGAAAAAAAAAAAAAAGATTTAAACAGAGGGCTGGGAATATAGTTCAGTGGTAGAGTGCTTATCTAGTATGAACACAGCCCTAGGCTCAATCCAGGTACTGGGGGAATAAAAAAGGAACAAGATTCTAATCACTGTAACCAGGGTGTAGTTTCAGAAAAACAGGATTCTATCTGTAAACCTGAAGATGAAAGTCCCATAGCTCCAGCCAGACACCAAATTTGGCTGCACTTGACAATAATTGCCCAGGGACTCCTCTGTTAAAATGCAGATTATAGATATTTTTATTTGAGTGTTGGCATGCACAGGGGGTTGGGCTCTTCGGAAACCAGGTGGAATCTAATCAGGTGGTACCAACACCTGGGGAGGGTTAGTTTCCTTGACCTTATACGACTACTGATAGAGTGTAAGGGAGGAATGTAGAGATTCAAATCTGAAAACAGAGCAAGCATGGGCTGGTTAGCAGACAATGACCTTGGGAGGCCTTACGTATCATTCCTGGGAAATGCTGCCACCACCACCCCTGCCCCCATGTATAGGTATGTGGTGTATGCACACATGTATGAAACCAGAGAAGAACATGGGTGTCTTTCTCTATCACCCTCTACCTTATTTATTCCCTTGAAACAGGGTCTCTCACTGAACCCGAAGCTAGGCTGGCCGCCAGCAAGCTCCAGATCTTCCAGTCTATGCCTTACAGCACTGGGATTACAAATGTACTTTTTATGTGGGTGCTAGGGATTCGAACTCAGGTCCTGAAGCTTTTAGGGCAAGTGCTCTTACTCAGTAAGCCATCTCTGCAGTCACTACCTTTTTCTTTTCTTTTTAAAAATATTTTAATTATTTGCATTTTACATATATGAGTGTATTGCCTGCATGTATATTAAACGTACCCATGCTGTACAATGCCCGTAGAGGTCAGAAGAGAGCGTTGGATTCCCCTGGAACTGGAGTTACAGATGATTATTAGCCACCATGTAGGTGCTAGGAATTGAACCCAGGTCCTCTACAAGAGCAGCCAGTTCTCTTAACTGCTGAGTTACCTCTCCAGCCCCTGCACTATCTTTTTGTAACTGTGCTTTATACACATAAACCTGTCCTTTTCTGAGTGTGGTTTTTACCAAGATCTACCTATGAAAGTCACACATCCCTCCAGGCATGGTGACAATGTAAACTTTTAGACCAATAAAGATTAAGGGCTGGGGCTGGAGAGATGGCTCAGCGGTTAAGAGTACTGACTGCTCTTGCAGAGGACCTGGGTTCGATCCCCAGCACCTACATGGCAGCTATGAACCATCCTTAAATCCAGTTCCAGGGAAATCCGAAGCCCTCTTCTGACCTCCAAGGCATTGCATGACACGGGTGCACTCACATACATGCAGGCAATACGCTCACTCATACACATATAAAAAAAAAAAATAAAAAAATTATTTTTATTATTTTTTGGTCTTTTGAGACAGTGAACTCACAGAGATCCGCCTGCCTCTGCCTCCCAAGTGCTGGGACTACAGGTGTGCACCACCACACCCAGCTAAACATACATTTTTTTTTTTAAATTAAAAATTAAAAAAACAATTAAGGGCTACACTCTGATGACCCTTGAACACTGCTGTAGACTCTAAGGCTCATGTGCAAGTCCTCTGGGCCCAGGCTGCCTCTCACCCAACTGCATGCCTGACATACTCAGCCAGACATCTGCCACACAGGTATCTCTACATTCATGCCACATGGTTCCCTTGTCCACTTTTACTCCAGTCTATTCACCCCTCAGGGTGTGGCTCCAAGACACCTCATGCACAAACCTGTGACTATCCAGCACACTCCTCTCCTTGTCTCATTTCTAAATCCCATAATTATGGTCCAGCCTGAAAAATGTGATGCTTCATTTTCATTTCATCAAGCTGAACTCCCCATCTTGGCTATAAGCTCCTTAACAGTGACTCATGTTTCTCTACTTCCCACAATGCTCAGTATGAGGGACAGAATGGATATATAGCCAGGCATAGTGACACATGCCTTTAATCCCAGCACTAGGGAGGCAGAACCAAGAGGATATCTGTGAGACTGAGGTCAGCCTGGTCTACACAGCATGTTCCTTTTGGGGCTATCGGGAGACCCTATCTCAAAAAACAAAATAAAACACACCAAAAACCCAGATTTTTAAATAAATACATATAAGACTCTGCTGGCTGGTTTTGATTGGGTTGTCACAAACAGCCTAGACTCTGAGTAGCAGAGATGATATGGAAGAATGTAGAACCAACACTCAAAAACCCTGGGTTCTAGTCCTAGTCCCCCACGGACTTTTGTGGGACCCCCTAAAACAATTTCTCCCAAATCTGAAGGGACTGTGGGTGCACCTGGTATACTGTGCAAATGGTAAACTCTATTGGAAATGCTGTCCTGACACTGTGGCTTCCAAGTAACCCAGGTGTAGTTCCAAACAACAGTCTGGGGGGTGGGGGCTGGAGATCCTACTTCTCATCCCTTTGTAAGGGCTTCAATACCATGTAGATAGATGATCAGGAGGTCCCAGTGGAGATGTAAACTATTCTGAGTCCAAGAGAGGTGGGAGATGACCTGTCCCTTCTTACCAAGCTGCTCAGTCACTGTCTGCCCAATAGCACTGAGAGGGGACTCTTACCGTGGAGAGGTTCCTCGGTCCTTGCTCCAACAGGGTGACATTATATCGGCCTACTCCCACATCCAGGTGGTTAAGCAGGGCCTTCAGCTGTGACAGGGTGAGGCTGTTACCCTCACCATAGCGCTGCATAAGATCATCCAGGAAAGAGGTAGCACTCAGAGGCACTGTAGAGGCAGATGAGGCGTGAGTCTGGGGAGCAGTTCTCCAGATTCCAAGCAGTGCTAACAGGAAGCAGCTAGGGAGGGCTGGGCGCAGCATCTTCATGGTGTCCAGGCACACCTACCAATGCAAGCCAGGGGAAGGTTAGGCCTTGCCTCTCCTACCTTCAAGTAACCAGCAACCCACCACCAATCACATGTCAAGGACGAAGGCTCCCTTCCTTCAGACCCAGTAAACATAAAGGTCTGACTGCACCTCCTGCTCTACGTGCTCTGCCTGGCTTTGGAGAAATCCTTAAATGACAATCAGAAAAAAGGACAAGCCAGGCATGGGAGCACATGCCTGTAATCCCAGCACTCAGGAGGTTCAGGCAGGAGGAACAGGAGTTCAAGACCAACATGGACTACATAGGAATCTGTTCAACAACAACAGCAGCACGACAAAGAGGGAGTATGAGTGGGGACATTTTCTTCAGTTGTTTAGTGACTGGTAAGGTGCCATGCTTTTGTAAATAACCTTAATAAAACTCACTGAGTCACCACAAGAAGGAAGAGAGGGAGGGAGGGAAACCGGAAGTAGAGGGGACTAGTTGGGAAGAGGGATGGGATCAATGAGAGGGGGACAAAAGGGTAATGGGGGATGAATATGATCCAAATAAATGTACATATATGTATTTAAATGTCATAATGAAACCCATTAGTATATATAATATATGCTAACAAAAACATTTAAAAATATTATTTAAAACTTTAAAATTTTTATTTTATGTATTGTATGAGTGTTATACCTCCATGTATAAATGTACCTGTGTCGTGCAATGCCCATGGAAAACAGAAGAGGGCATCAGATCCCCTGGAACTGGAGCTACAGACAGTTGTTAGCTGCCATGTGGGTGCTGGGATTTGAACCCAGGTCTTCTGTAAGAGCAGTCAGTGCAATTAACCACTGAGCCATCTCTTTAGCCATTTATTTATTTTATTTATTTGAAGGTTTTACCTACATGTAAGTGTACCAGCATATACAATGCCCATGGAGGAATAAGAGGGTGTTGGCTGCCCTGAACTGGAGTTTCAGAGAGGTGTTAGCTGCCATATAGGTACTAGGACCCAAACCTAGATCCTCTGCAGGAAGAGCCAGGGCTCCTAACTGCTGAGCCATCTCTCCAGCCCCAATAAAAATGCTGTTAAAAGGAGGGGGATGGAAATCAGGTAGAGGAGGTAGATTTAGCTCAGCAGTACAGTGTTTGGCAAAGTAATAGGCCCCAGGTTCCATCCCCAGCACCAAAAATCAGAAGTAAATGGAGAATTCAGGCTAAGAGCTCTTCCTGATCTTGTTACCTCCCAGCATCCACATGGCAGCTAATACCTGTCCTTTAAAACTCCAGTTCCAGGGGATCTGATGCCTTCTTCCGGCCTCCACGGGTACTGTACTATGAGATGGCTCAGTGGGTAAAGGTGCTTGCTGTCAAGTCTGACGACCTGTGTTCAAAGGTTCAAGTCCCTTGACCTCCACAGAGGTGCCATGGTGGACACACACACACACACACACACACACACTCTCCTCTCTCTCTCCCTCTCTCTCTCTCCAATAAAATTAATGTAATAGAAAATTTAAAAACCAATGATTAGGTTATGATTTTAAAAGGCCTTAGAGGGGGCTGGAGAGATGGGTTAGTAGTTAAGACTCTTCAGTCTGCTTTTCTGCATGTCTGAAACTCTCCAAAATAAAAGGTGCTTAAATAACACTATGACTGAAAGAGATAAAGCACAAAATAGGATGAGCATGGTAGTACACACCTTTAATCCCAGCACTTGGGAGGCAGAGGCAGGGAGATCTTTGGATCTTTGTGAGTTCAAGGCCAGCCTGGTCTACATAGCAAGTTCCAAGTCAGCTGGGGCTACAGGGAGACCCTGACTCAAAAGACAAAAAAATAATAATAATAAACAAACAAAAAAAGAATAAATAATCACAAAACAGCAAAAATGTATGCCATCAATAATTAAAAATATTTAGTCTATAATATTGAGAGCACATATCATTTTGATCCTTATTAAAACAACAAATTATATTTGACAGTACCTTGGCAACAGTGGTAGAAAGTTTGCCTAAAGTGCACGAGGCCCTAGGTTCTATGCCCAAAAATCGCAAAATAAATACAAATACCACACGTCCATGAGACTAAATAGCAGGATTTACCTTACTTCTAGAATTTACTTACTAAGAATTTCCCCAAATTTCTAGAATTTACTCTAATCAATGTAATTTAAAATATTTTATTATTTTTATTTTATGTGTATGCGTGTTATTGCCTGCATGTAGGTAAGTGCACCTCTCAGAAGACAGAAGAGGCCATTAGATCCCCTGGAACTGGAGTTATGGACAGTTGTTGGCTGCCATGTGGGTGCTGGGATTTGAACCCGGGTCTTCTGCAAGAACAGTGTTCTTAACTGCTGAGGCATCTCTCCAGCCCCAATCAATGTAGTTTTAAAAAATACACAGAAATGTGCTAAGTAAACTACATAAATTTTATGCAGTATCATGTAGCTATAAAAAGTGAGTTGTTAAATAAAAGCAAATTTACATAACACCATTAAGAACCAAGAAGGTGGGTCTAGAGAGATGGCTCAGTGGTTAAGAACACAGACTGTTCTTGCAGAAGACCCAGGTTTGAATCCCAGCACCCACATGACAGCTAACAGCTGTGCGTAACTCCAGTTCCAGGGGATCCGACAGCCGCTTCTGTCCTCCTTGGGCATTGCACAACACGGGGGCACTTACCTACATGCAGGCAATACACGCATACACATAAAAATAAAAATAAATAAATTTATTTTTTTTTTTGAGACAGGGTCTCCCTGTAGCCCCAGCTGGCCTGGAACTCACTATGCAGACCAGGCTGGATTCGAACTCACAGAGATCCACCTGCCTCTGCCTCCTGAGTGCTGGGATTAAAGGTGTGCGCCACCACGTCCGACTAAACAAAATATTTTTTTTTAAAAAAGAACTGAGAAGGAACAAAGAAAAATGAGAGTTGGCTATGGTTTTCCTGTTAATCATTTATTTCCCTTAGTGTGATTATAACTTAATTAGTGACATAAGCAAACACAGGATGAAAATGAGCTCCTTGCTCCAGCCCAGGAAGAACTCAATCACCTGATGGTTTCCTTCCCGGGGCTCTAGCACCAGATGCCTCACTGGGCATTGCTCCATCTCTGGACAAAGGAACAGGATGTGAGTGGCTAGGACTGGCCTGCCTGAACCCTGCCCTTTACAAGCAATGTGATCTTGGGTGAGTTGCTTAACCAGAGATACTACAGAATGACCCAGGGCAGCTTACCAGGGCCATTATCGCCAAACAGACGTGGCCTGAATTTCCACAACACTGTTTACAAGAGAAAAGGCACTGGGCGAGTTACTTAGCCTCAACTACCTCAGTTTTCGCATCTGTGAATTTGGTACTCACTTCATTGGATGATGGTCAAAATTTCATTATGATGGTGGCCTGGCTAATTATCTGAACTAAAAAGCATTCAAAATCTGGCTCTGTGATAGCAAGGCAGCAAGACAACAGGAAAAAAACAAGGAAAGAGAATTGGGGGGGGGGGGGCGCCCACCTAAGCGAAAAAACAAAACCAGGGTTTAGGTTTTTAAAAAAAAAAGGCGCTTCCCAAACGGGGACCCCCACATGGGGGGGGGGGGGCGCACTACCTAGCTGAACAACCAAACACTGGCTTCAGTTATTCAAATACAAAGGTGCTTTCCCAACGTGGACTCTCAGCACAAATATGAAGTTGCTCATCCAACTGTCGGGAGCCATACAAATGGCAGTCTGAAAAAGTGCTACTTTGTGTCTTGGTACTTTCAAATCACCACCAGGAAGCACATTAAATTATGCTAGGTGGGGTAGATTTTAGGCAAAAATGGTTAAAACTCACTGTCCAAAGGAAGTGATTATGCCTGGCATGGTAGTACATGCCTACAACCCCAGCTTGGGAGGTGGAGGTAGGAGGATCAGGAGTTCAAGGCCAGCCTGGGCTTCACAAGAAGACTCTATCACAAAAACGGGAAGACAGAGGGAAGGCGTTATCCACCCAACCAACTGTGAACTGTCTATGGCATGTTCTTCACTGAGTATGAGGGGTGGAACTGGGAAAGGAGAGATGATAAACAGCAGTCAGCCTGGTTCCACACCTGGCTTCCAGTGTTTCCTTTAAAAGAAGCTGGGAACATATTCCTATCTAATAGATAAGGAAGGAGGAGGCTAGAGGTTAGGGAATATGATCCACAGCTGCAAAATCAGAACTGAATTTTTCATGAACTGAAGCCAGGTCAGAACAATACCCGAGTCTGGCATCCAGTGCGGGTTTGGCACGAAGATACAGAGCAAAGTCCACAAAACTCAGTAGGCACCTGCCCACGTGGCTGCCCATTTCTGTCAGCCCCAGTGGCTACCCTCGATCGGGCTGGGGATGCCCCAAGAGCTAGGAGGAGCGATGGTCAGAGGTGGTCATAGGGCTCCTGCTGTAGAAGCAGAGAACACCGCACTGTTACCACTTCAACCATCTTCCTCAAATTTAGCTACAGGAACTTCAAAACACTATATAAAAGCAAACAAAAAAACTTCAAATGTGGGCTATCCGGGTGACTATTTATTTTGGCAACTTTACCTGGATGGGCATTCAGTTAGAGATCAGCACTTATGATATATTGGCCCCTTTGGTCCCTCCCATGGCCTTGAGAACAGCTGGCATACTAGAGAAAGGCCAGAAAGGCTCATTCTGGCTGTACCATAACACACACCAAGGGTTACCTGTGCTTCTCCAGGAAACCTCTTCTCTCCCTGCTGGTGTGGCTACTCCCTCTTCTAGGAAACACTGCTTTGAGTTCTGTTGGCACCCCCAAGACAGTGTCAGGGCTCCAGGGTCCAGGTCAGTCCCTGCAGGTGGCAAGGCCTAATGGCAGGACCTGATGCCTGACTCAGCACTTGAGCATTTAAGTCACCTCACCAACAGTCAGGCAGTCTAAATCACAAGTGGAGGCAGTAAGGGGTCTTTGTCCAGAGGATTCTGGAGCTGTGGAAGATACTCCAGACCCAAGTGACCACCCCACCCCCGGCCCCGGCCTTTTGGCGGTCATGAGGCATGAGGTGCTTTCTGCTCCAGTGGAGATTTTTCTCATCCTTAACTTAGTGGGAAAAAAAGAGTTTATCGAAGATCTCTGGAGTTAGCCAGGCATTGTGGCTCACATCTATAATCCAAATACTTGGGAGGCAGGGGCAAGAAGATTGCCCCAAGTTCGAGGCCAGTGTGATTCACAGAACAAGTTCTAGGCCATCTAGAGCTACACAGTAAAACACATAAAACAGATTTCTTGGAGGAAAGAAAAGAGGAAAAAAAGGCACATAGCTCTTACCAGAACTAGGAAGGTGGGGATAGGCAGGAGCCCTTGCCCTGTGGGCCTAGTTCCACACGTGGCCTATGGGAGCCACTGTAGTCCTCCTAGAGAGCTGAGCCAACTGTTCTCCAGGATGTCACCACCTGTACCAGAGATGAGGTTAGGAAGCGCTGGAAGAGGCAAGGCACCAGTGTGACCCAGGCCAGGCCCTGCCCACTAAAGAGAAGCTGGAGTTTTTCCCACCTCTGGGAAACCACTGGGCTCAGGGTCAGAACAAATAAAAGGAGGTGAACATGACATTTATTTTGGAATGCTGTGATATTTCTATGCCATCCTGAGGCTCCTAAATAGGAATCCTGAATTCTCATTCTCATTCTCCTCTCTCTCTCTCTCTCTCCCCCTCCCTCCGTCTCCCCCGCTCACACACATACAAGGCACAAGCATTTCTGAGGCCAATGAGATATGTCCTTACGAGCCTTCCCTCCCTGTCACATGGATACTTCCTAGGTGACCTAGCTGAATTTCTACCTCACCCTAATCTTAATTATCTGTACAGACAGGCAGGATGCCTGGAGGAGCAGAAATTTTACTTCAGGTGAGCTAGCCAAAACTGGTTGGTCCTAAGATGGCTGCCAGAGTGCCCTCCTAACAATCTGATTTCACTATAATCCCAACTGTATGCTAAATGACACCCCATCTAGACCCTGATCGCTGACAAGACAGGGACAGGAAAAACACTGCTCACTTACTGTTGGCCCAACCCCGACAACCTAAGAGACAAATTTAACAGGACAGTTCTTACTAAGGTCCCTAAATCTGGCAAGAGGCAAACTGCCACCAATTCTTTATCCTTTTCATTGAGAATTATAGGGAAAGCTCTTTCTGGGAAAGGCGGAGAGGAAAATGGAACAAGAGCTGCCCTATCCGAGAAGGGTGCCAAAGCATGTACTGAACTGGGGGCGCTCACCTATTCCAGGGATACGCCAATAGAAGTTGAAGGGACCCCCCCCACAACAGTGGCTGAACCACACCAGCACTACAAGGATCACTCAAAATCCCAGCGCAAAGGATAGACTCACATCCCCACCTAACCTCCATTCCCCAGACTACAGAGAACAAACCTGATCATCCAACCCTCTGAGGGAGATGGGAAACAAACCAGCCATACCCGATAGGAAGAGAGCCACTTTCCTATTTTAAGGACAACAGAACATTGGCGAGGCAAACACAGGCAAAACCATGGACACAATATCACATGACCCTAAAGACAGCCACTCAGCCAAATTCCACAAGAGTGATTCCCCCAAACTAGCACGTGGGAGGCTGAAGCAGAAGGATCATGAGTTTCAGGCTGAAGCAGGAGGATCATGAGTTTCAGGCCAGCCTGGGTGCCATACTGAGACATCTCTCAAAAACAAGTAAATACAAAACAAAAGATGAACTGGGAAGATAGCTAGTCAGTGAAGTTTGATCCCCGACACCCTTGTAAAAGCCAGGAATGGAGGCATGTGCCAGTTACTAATTCCAGCACTGGGAAGACTGGAGACAGGAAGGTTGATCCCTAGGGCTTGCTGGCCAGCCTGGCAAGCTTTAAGTTCAGAGAGACCCTGTCTCAAAAAAATAAAATAAAATAAAATAAAAATAAAGCAAGAAGCGATTAAGGAAGATACCCAATACTGACCTCTGGGCTCCACAGACACGTACGCACACATGCACACCCACACAAACACATGTACATACATATACACAAAAAATAAAAATAAGGGAGCTGGAGAGATGGCTGTGCAGTTAAGAGCACTGGCTGTTTTTGCAAAAGACCTGGGTTCCTGCCACCTACATGGAGGCTAACGACCATCTGTAACTCTAGTTCCAGAGGATCCAATGCACACGTCTGGCCTCTATGGGCATCGCATGCACACAGTACACTTACATGTGTGTGAAAGATTCATACACATAAATGTAAAAATAAATTAAATAAAGAAATAAAGAAAGCTGGGCATGGTGGCACATAACTTTAATCCCAGCACTCAGGAAGCAGAGGCAGGGGGATCTCTGTGAGATCATGGCCAGCTTGATCTTCACACTGAGTTCCAGGCCAGTCGGGGCTACAGAGAGACCCTGTCTCAAAAACAAACAAACAAACAAACAAACAAACAAAAAATAACAAATAAAATAAAAACACAAAGAGTGCAGATGATACAGTTTGACAAATGGAAGTGCACATTTACAATAAAAGAGGAACAAACAGTATCACAGAAGCACCAAAATAATGGACAGAACCAAAACTTACAAAGGAAAGCTTGATCTAATCATAGCAAACAGATGAAAAACCTCCAGGAAAGCAAACTGTGGCAGAGACAGACAAAAATAAGCAACAAAAGATTCCCTTCAAACAGAAGGAAAAACCCACATACAAAGATTCAAATACTGTTCTATATTCCACAAGTGTTCAAGACAGATACATTGCCTCATTCAGCTACTGAATTTAAAGGACAAAACAAGTTTCTCCAGGTATTCACAAGCTTTTTTCCCCCTTTTTAACAAAAAGCAAGGTCTTCTTATGTAGCCCAGGCCAGCCTGGAACTCACAATCCTCCTGCCTAGCCTCAATTTCTCAAGGATAGGTATACAGGCATGGCCCAAGGGTAGGTGTACAGGTGTTAAGCCACTACACCTGGCGAAAGGATCTTTTACTTGGGAGAAAAATCAGAGGACCCTCATCTTCCCTAGAGCAGCATTTAGCATGAGAAGATAGGCTAAGAATGTCACACAATTCTGATGAAAAGGCTAGGTTGTATACACTTCTAATCAGATGGAGGCAGTAGGATCAGGAATTCAAGGCTTGTCTAGCTATATAATGAGTTTGAGGCCAGCATGGGCTACAGGCAACTCTGTCTGGGGAAAAAAGGAGGGGGAAAAAAAAAAAAAAAAAAAAAAAAGACTTCTTTTGGGGCCTAGAGGCTGCTCTGCAGGCTGAGGCAGTAGGAGGTATGTTCAAGGCTTACCTTACCTGTAGCCTACAGAGCTGAATTCAAGACTGACTTATTCAACTTAGTGCCAAGGAGGAAAAAAACCTCACAATAAAATACAGCTAATTACCACAAGAATAATAAAAGAGCCAGGGGGGTGATCCCTAGCACCCCAAACCAAAGAAATCAAGAAAGCAAGCAAAGAGCTCAGAGAGCTGGTTGTAATAAGGTACATCTGTAATCTCAGCATGCCTACAGTGAGACAGGAGGTGGAGACAGGAGAATCATTGGGAAACTCCGAGCCAGGAATATACAGCAGGGCAGAAACAAGAGAGACCCTGCCTCAGAACAAGATGGAGCAAGACGTGGTGTTGGTGCTCGCCTTTAATCCCAGCACTCGGGAGGCAGAGGCAGGCAGAAAGAGAAGATGGGGAGGGAAAACGGACTCCTGAAAGTTCTGACCTCCATACATGCACTGCGTGCTTGCGCGCGTGTACACACGCACACACATGGCTAAGAAATAAAAATAAAATGTAGACAATCCAACAACGTAGTTAACATAATCAGGATATGGGGGAGATGATCACAAACAGAATTCCAGTGTCCTTGCTTTTTCCTAACAAAGAGGTAATAGGTACTGCCTAAAATGAAAACAACTAATTATAGACATGACTCACAGGCTATTTACTTTGCTGGGTAAGAAAGCTAATTCTCTTTATTTTACTGAGGTTTGTTTTTCTTCTGTTGTAGTCAGAAAAACTGCTTTTTCACAGGATTTATATCTTTTTTTCTATGTCCATTTCTATGTAAGTATGCATAGAAAAATATTTGGAACAATGTTCACTTAATATTGACAAATGAATATTCTGTGTGGTGAGCCATGGAATTGGTTCAGTTCTGCTTCAACCTGCTGATCTACCCCACTCAGCTGGCGGGGGAAGTGGGGTGGGAGAGATACAGCAATGTAAGAAAACACGGTTTACCATGACCAGGGAGCCAAGACTGACTTTTCTGCAAGACAGCATCTCATGAAGCCTAGGCTGGCTTTAAACTTGATAGCTGACATTGTCCTTGAACTGAGTGCTGGGTTTATAGGAACCACACCTGATTTATGCAGTGCTAGGGATTAAACCCAGGGCCTTGTACATACTAGGCAAGGACTCTACCATCTGGGCTATATCCCCCGCCCAAACTTTCTAAGTATAGCACAAAATCCAGAACCCAACAGAAGCAACTGCTGACACATTTGATTACAAAAGCTGCCAAGTGTTCTACAAATAACTCATTATAATATCCTTGATTTTTATGGTCAAACAATAATCCAATCATCTGTGTAAATCTCCATTAGAAAGTCAGTAATCTTTTTCCCTTCCTTTGTGGTGCTAACAAGGGCCTCATGCATGCTAAGTAAGTGCTGTACCGTAGCCCAAACCTGGTCTTAAAGCTCTGTATTCAGCTAAATACAAAGACTTCACATGAAAGTGTGGGCTGGAGAGACGGATCAGCAGTTAAGAGCACTGACTGTTCTTGCAGAAGACCTGGGTTCGATTCCCAGCACCCACATGGTGGCTATGAACGGTCCTTAACTCCAGTTCCAGTTCCCTCTTCTGACCTCCGCAGCATTGCATGACACGGGTGTGCTCAAATACATGCAGGCAATACACTCATACACATAAAATCAAAATAATAAATAAAATATTAAAGGACTGCTTGGGCTACACAGTAAGCACAAACTCAAGCCTAGGCAACCTAGTAAAAATCCTGTTTCAAGAGGCAGGGTCAGGAGAATTGGGAGTTCAAGGCCAGCCTCAGCCATATAGTAAATTGGAGGTTAGCCCAGGCTACACGAAATTCTGTTTCACCTCCACTCTCCCCAAATAAACTTGTCTTTAAAAGTACAAAAAAAGGGGGGGGGCAGTGTTGGAGAGATGGTTCAGCAGTTAGGAGCACTGGCTGCCCTTACAGAGGATCTGGGCCCAATTCCCAGCACCTACATGGCAGTTAATAACTGTCTGTAACTCAAGTTCCAGGGGATCCAACATCCTCTTCTGACCTCCGCAGGCACTGCATGACATGGGTGCACTTGTATTACATGCAGGCAATACATTCACACTCATAAAATAAAAATAAATAATAAATGTTTTTAAAGTAAAAAAAGGCTAAGGATGTAGCTCAGTGGTAGAACATCTACCTAACATGCATGCACTTATGAGGTCTTATGTTCAACCTCCAGTACCCCCCTCCCAAAAAAAAGGAAAAAGAAGAAAGGGAAAGTTGGGTGTTATGCACATTTGATTTGTAGCCCCAGCCCTCAGCAAATGGAAACAGGAGGATCACTGCAAGTTCAAGGCCGACCTGATCTACATAGGGAGACCCTGTCTCAAACAAACACAAAAATAAAAGAAACTCTCCAGACTCTCAGTCCTTATACACTCATCAAATGAATAAAGCCCAGAGGCCAGACTCACCTCCAAAAAGCTGTCTAGGCTGTGCCTTCACCCAAGGAAAGAGCCAACAAACAGTACAGTGAGCAGAGCCTTGCTTGGCCTGGCTTACTCAGCCCAAAGCACTCACTCAATGGTTTCATTATTCTGTACCCTCCCACCTAACTGCTTTCCTACATACCCTAAAAGGATGCGTTCTCTACAATTCCTGCCCCAAGACCTGAGCCTCCAGCTCTGGCTCTGGCATGCCCAAGGCCACCCAGGGTGGGAGACTTCCAACCAGCACATGAGGGGCTGGGGCAGCTGTCAGTGGCCCATTTATTCACCCCATGAAACCTCAGAAGAGGGGAAGGATGAGAGATCTTAAAAAAAAAAATGGTGACCCAAAAACAGGGAACAAAATTAGAATCAGTAGTCTGCTGCTCAACACAAATATTTACTGAGCTCCCCCATGTGTGTGTCAGCGCCTGTGGGGAAGAGATTATGAGGCCAGAGACTAGTGACCAGGGCCTGGGGCAGCCAGCGCAGACAGACCAGGAAGGCTTATTTAGCCCCAAGCTGAGCTGGAGTGAGTTTAACCACAGGCAGGCCCAGGGCTGGAGCCAGGAGGAAGGAAAAAGCACACTGGAGGGCTCAGGCTCAGTGGGGAGCCTGGATCTGACAAAGCCAAAAGACCTTCCAAAACTGGGGAGGTTTGGTGGGAGCCAGCCAGGCTCCTCATCAAAGCCCAGGCAAGAGTCACTCCTGCTATCCTCATCATCCATCATCAATTCCTAGACGTGGGATTGCTGTCCAACCAAGTCCACTCCTGTCTGCCAGGCCACAGGGTTCTGCATGTGGCTTAGAAAACAGTGGTGCTCACATCTACCACTTACATCACTCGACGAAGCAAAATTCCCCAGTTTGTTATTCAGGGTCAAATAAAAAGCAGGATCTATGATTAAATCAGACAGCACAGAAATCAGACCTAGGTTCAAATGTGGGGCTTGACACTAACCTAGTCTGATAGAATGAAACAGTAAAAATTTAGCAAAGGACAAAGTTCCCAGGGGCTCTCGACAAACAAGATGGAGCTTTTGGGACACAGCAGTTCAGACTGTTCCTCTCCAGCAGTCCGGGCCACCAAAACTGACACCAGAACTCATGTGGTGAAGCGAGAACTGGCTCCAGCAAGTTGTTTTCTGATTTCCACATATGCATCATGGTACATGTGTTCATGTTCACACACACACACACACACACACACACACACTAAATAAATAATAAATAAATATGAACTCTAGTAGCCATCTTCTTGGGGTGATGATGTCCTTGCACCTCAATGGCCTCTTCTTCCAGGGAACCAAGCACCACTCTTGGCTTCTCAATTATTTTGGATACTGAATAACTTGGTCTCCCAAGAAACCTGCCTAATTAGATTTTTGTTTCTTAAAGGCAAAGAGCAATGTAAGCCTGTGTCAGTTTAAGTGCTGTGCACATGAGGGACTTAAAAGCAGAGACTTTCTGATCAAAGAGGAGAAATTTAACCCCCTCCCCCTTTTCCCTGATGCCTTCCTGGTCCCTACAGCCTAATAGGTCCTTCTATAGACATCCTATTCCCCTGGAAGTGCCCCCAAGTCACATTTAGCCTAGATCATATGAAGCCAGCTGTAAGGACCACCTATTCTCTCCTCCTCTAAACCACTCTCTTACCCTGAACACACACATACACACACACACACACACGTCTGCTTACACAAACACATGTTCATTTTGTTTTGAGAAAGTGTTTTGCTATATAACCCTAGTTGGCTCAGTGCTTAGTATTTACAGCCCAGGCTAGCTTTGAACTGATGACAATCCTGTCTTAGCTTCCCAAACGCTGGGATTACCCGCATGAACTCCCACACCAGGCACTTCGCTTACGTTAAGTGAACTAAAGCTAGGTTAAACCTACCAGACCTAAACTCACTTCCAGCCTGCTATGGTGACACACAACTCTCAGGAGGTGGAGGCAGGAGGACAAGGAATTCAAGGCCAACCTCAGCAACATAGCAAGTTCTAGGCCAGTCTGGACTACATGAGACCATCTCAAAAAAAAAAAAAAAAAGAGAGAGAAAAGAAAAGAAACAACAAAAACCCACCTTAGTCCAATAGTTCATTTATTCATAAAATACTCATTTCCTGCCAGTTACCAGATAATGCTAGTCCCAGGAAGCAAAGGGCACATAGTAAGCCCTGGACAAGTAACTTACCAGCAGGGTGAGGCTGAGGGGAATATGCAGCTCAGGGTTTACTTGCTCAATTTAAGCAGGAAGAGACTCCACACAGGGTATTTAGTAGCCTGGAGATTCACTGGAAGATGAAGAAACTGCTCTAGGCTGAGTGCCCACAGGCTACTCCTAAAATCAAGTTGCCACACCACGCAGCAAGGGAGCTACTGTCTGGGCCGTATGGCATAAAGAAGCCCCTATTCTTGCCAGGGATCTACTCCAGCAAAACAGATGTCCCAGGGTCCATCCCAAGGACATGAAGGCCCAGCCTCTTCCCACAAGACTAGATGAACACACTTAACTGGCAGACTCTGAATCATACAGGGAGTTTTGGCACAAGGATATCTGAATAGAGTTTGGTTTGTTTTCTTTGAGAAGCAAGGACCTAACCTGGAGCCTCATGCATGCTAACACTACCAGTGAGTTATACTCCCAGTCCTGAATGTGTACTTTTGATTCTCTACCTGTAGTAGGATGGACCATAATCATACTTTATTAACCTAATGAGGTGTTATTAATTAAACCAACAAGAACACCAAGAGTAAACAAACTACCATTAGACATCTAGGGAACCGTTATTGTGGACCCACCCACCACAGACACGCCAGGCTGAGCCCCAGAAATGATGAAAAACACAGCAGAACAATCAACCTGGTGTCAGGGGTCAAGAAGACTCCCCTAAAGGAAAGCGGACACCCTCAGAATATGCAAAAGTGAGATGGTGGGTAGAGGGATGGGTAGGGCCTTCTGGGAAACTGCAGTCACACTTAGGGACTCACTGAAGATGGCATATCTAGAGACTTGAAGTCCACAGTGGATAGATATATGGGAGGTCATGCAGGGTAGAGGAAAATGGTCCACAAGTGTGGACCTCGAGGGACTCACCTTACGAAAACATTTAGTCTATTTGTGGTGAAGATCAAACCCAGAGCTTCAAGGATGCTTGGCCAAGCACTCTACCATTGAGCTATACATTTGGTCCACTTGTGGTGAAGATCAAACCCAGAGCCTCAAGGATGCTTGGCCAAGCGCTCTACCATTGAGCTATACATTTGGTCCACTTGTGGTGAAGATCAAACCCAGAGCCTCAAGGATGCTTGGCCAAGCGCTCTACCATTGAGCTATACATTTGGTCCACTTGTGGTGAAGATCAAACCCAGAGCCTCAAGGATGCTTGGCCAAGCGCTCTACCATTGAGCTATACATTTGGTCCACTTGTGGTGAAGATCAAACCCAGAGCCTCAAGGATGCTTGGCCAAGTGCTCTACCATTGAGCTATACACACACCTGGCATCTAATGGGTTTGGGTTTTATTTGTTCTTTTTTCAATTTTATTTGTATGTGTTTGAGTGTTTTGCCTGTATGTATGTAAGTGTACCATATACATGCAATGCCCATATGTCAGAAGAGGGTGTCAGATCCCCTATGGACAGTGGTTAGCTGCCATGTAGGTTCTGGGAACTGAACCCCAGTTCTCTGCAAAAGCAGCCAATACTCTTAAGAGCTGAACCATCTCCACAGCTCTGTTTTATTTGTTATTGAGACATGGTCTTACATTGTCTTCCAAGTTGGCTTGGAATTCACTATGTAGCCCAGGCTAGCCTACACCTCCTGGCAATCGTCCTGCGTTGGCCTCCAAAGTGCTGGGAGTACAAGCATGAGCCCCAGTAGAGCTGACAATTTATATTTCTAATATATCTGCCCAACTTCAGTGTAGAAAACGGGCAGAAGGAAGGCAGAATTGGAGATTAGCCAGCAGGCTCTCAGACATCTAGGTGAAAACCAGCAGCATTTTAGTGCAAAATGCCTTTGTATCCATTTAAGGCTTAACAGCAACCCTGCCTGGCACACAGGCTTCAGAATTCTGCAAGTAGAATCAGGAGGAAAAAAAAAAAAAAAAAAGACCACCCCATTCCAATGCTGGGACAAGTCAGCTCAACTCTTGTAGCAGGCAGGAATTTAAGAGACTTTAGGTTCAGTTATGGAACAAAACATACCCACCCCAAGGGCCTTTGGCTACAATGCTTGGCTGACAGCCAAGATGATCTGCCCCAGCAGCCCTAACCCTAACAACCCCTTTAGTCCTCCTGCAAGCCAGATCAAGTCCAAGTTCTCTTAAAGCCTCTCTCTGGCTGGCCAGTCTCCATAGCTGAGACACCACGTCGTGTGTGATCATTTCTCGTGGGACATGGCTCCAAGTTGTGCAGTCCCTAAACACCAGCATCGCCATCACCTGGGGACTTGCTGGAAGTGCAAATTCTCAGCACCTTCCCACTCAATCAGAAACTTGGGCTAACCCAGTACGGTAGGGTTTACTCAGGGCTCTGGTCATGCCTAGTACACACTAAAGCCTGAGGCTTGCTGCTCCTGGAGAAAGAGCTACAGCCTTTGCTCTATTTCCAGAAAAACCAAAGAGACAAAGAAAGGTACCACATGACCCTATCTACCTAGTACCCAACCTTCCTGACTAGTCACTCCTTGCCGGCATAGTACCTGGGTACCTTGAACTTTCAGTTTCTTCATGATTATTACTACTCAATAACAGATTGATAAATGAACCCTCAGGAGAAACAGGGTTACAGGAAAAAGTAAAGAAAACCCCTATTTCCAAATTGGGAAAGAAGGCAGACAGTAATCACATTCATGAATCATAATTCCTCTCACACTTACCCAACCTCTTACATAGTCTTTCGCCAAGGGCACAGCTGATTTGGCCAGCCACTGACGGATTACTAAGATGCAAGACCTTCCCACATCCTCTGCTTCTTCACTGCATGACCACAAACCAGAGCCATCTGGCTTCCTAAGATTCCAGGCTCCAAAGACAAACTACCAGAGACCACTGTCCATCACTGTAGCCACTTAAGATTCCCCCTCCTGACTTCCCTGGCCGGCTTCATCCTATGAGCTCCTGTGCTATCTGACAGTCAGCGTTCTCTAGGTTTCAACCTACCCCTGGTCTCCATCCACAGTGCTACACAGAAGGAGGTGGATCTCTGTAAGTTCAAGGCCAGTCTGGGCTACACAGTGAGACCCTCTCTCAAAAAAATAGGAACTGCAGACTCTCTCAAAAAAAAGGAACTGCAGAAAACACACACACACACACACACACACACACACACACACTCACACACTCACGTGCACATGCCACCTATTTCACCCTTGCACCTTATTATCTCCATACCTGGCATCAGAAAGCTGCATGTGCCCCAGCTCCTCTCTCCAAGAGGAGCTGGGGGTCATCTAGAGAAACCAGGAAGACCTGTAGGAACCACATCTCTACCCGACTCCAGTCCTCCCCAGCACAGCCCACCTTAGCCAGACCAATTCTCACCTTCCTCTTTTTTCAATGTCATGCTATATTAAAATGACAGGCTTATATTTCAGGTTAACTACCTTGGCTGTTTCTTAATAGGATTATTTATTTATTTATTTATTTATTTTTGGTCTTTTTGAGACAGGGTCTCCCTGTAGCCCCAGCTGTCCTGGAACTCACTATGTAGACCAGGCTGGCCTTGAACTCACAGAGATCCACCTGCCTTTGTCTCCCGAGTGCTGGGATTAAAGGCGTGTGCCATCACGCCCGGCCTTAATAGGACTTTTGTTAAGTACTCGCTAAGGACATAGAGGAAAATGCTTTTACATATATACAGGCATAGCTTCACCCTTCCTAGGGACTGCAGAATGGTTTAGACTTCACCATGGATGCACTGAATAAGGCCATGGAAGTCACAGCCAGGAGCACTGGGGCACTTTCTAAAACCTCCCTGGGGAAGGGGCAACACAACAGGAAGGCCCTGGCTCTCTGCTCTCCTGATTTTCCCATCTAGGTCCTGGCCAGAGTTCTGCAGAGAAACTGTCAAGTTCAAGCACAGATAGATTCCAGAGCAAAGGGAGCCAGGATTCTGGATCACATCACACTAAGCCACACATCAACACCACATGCTAAATAGCTCAGGGCCACATAAGTAAAGCTGCCACACAGCCATCTCCAGCAGTGTGGTTAAAAAGGACTGAGTTCCCCATCCCAGTACCTATTTATGTATGTATTTCCACTCCCCTCCCGACCCCCCACAAACTGCTTTGTCTATTAAAAAGGGATCAACATTCTAGCCAGACTTAGAGGCTTATTCTTTTCAGTCAACACTAACTCCAACAAGATTGTCACATAAAAAGGGGTTCTGGTTTTGGTTTGCAACTCAGGCTCCAGTTGGGTAACTTTCAGCCACAAACAGAAGAAATAGTTAACATAAGAACAGTTAAAGGAGCTGGGGATAGACCAGTTGGTAAAGTGCTTGCCCTACAAGTACAAGAACCTAAGAATGCACAGTGTCATAAAATGAGCTGGGCGTGTAATTCCAGGGATGCCAGTGGAGACAATGGATCCTTGGGGCTCACTGCCAGTCAAGTTAGACTCTTTGGTGAGTTCTAGGCTAATGAGAGACCCCATCTCTTAAAAAAGGTGGGGGGGGGGCGGGGGGCTGGAGAAATGGCTCAGTGATTAAGATCCTGTAATGCTCTTTGTAGGGCCTAAGTCCAGTTCTCAGGACCCATAACAGGTGGCTCACAATTACGTATAACTCCATTTGCAGGGAATCTGATACCCTCTTCTGACCTCTGGGGGCACCTACACTTACATGCATATACCCACACACAGATACCTGTAATTTAATAAATGGGCTGGACATGGTGCCATATGCCTTTAATCCTAGCACTTGGGAGATGGAGGCAGATAGACCTCTGAGTTCAGAGCCAGTCTGGTCTACATAGCAAGCTCCAGGTCAGCCAGGGCTACATAGTAAGACCCTGTTTCAAAACAGAAGGGTCTGGAGAGATGACTCAGCAGTTAAGAGCACTGTCTGTTCTTGCAGAGGACCCAGGTTTGATTCCCAGCACCCAAATGGTGGCTAACAACCATCTATAACCCCAGTCCCAGAGTCTCTGATACCCTCTTCTGACCTCTGAGGGCACTGTATAACACAGGTGCACTTACATGCAGGCAATATACACATACACATAAAATTAAAAAAAAAGAAAATCTTAAAAAAAGGGCTCGGGTTCCCACATGGCAGCTATGAACCGTCCTTAATTCCAGTTCCAGGGGAATCAGAAGCCCTCTTCTGACCTCTTTGGCATTGCACATGGGTACACTCACATACATGCAGGCAATACATTTATACACACAAAATAAAAATAATTA